CTTCCAGTACCCACAGCTCAACTTGTCTCAGTTGTTGAAGTCCTCTTGGGTAAGAACAGGTATGTTTCACTTAATGTCATATTGTGGGAACTGTAAGAATAAGAAGTCTGTGCAGGCACATTAAGAAGGATACCGCCTTTCCTGTTTCTGAGTCCTAAATTCAGGGCAAAATGTACCTTAAGTTCTTGGCAAAGAACGAATGAGAAAAGGATTCAGAGTTGGCTGTGGGCATGTGCCCCACTGAGCTATGGCACAAAAAGGATTGACTTTCTCTAAAATTCATACATCAAATCCAGGGCATTCTAACAGGAACTGACAGTCTTCCAACCAGAATAAGTAAGGGTTCTGAAGCAAAGATCTCTCTTTTTTTGTTTTTCCAAAGTCTTATTTATTTGGTTTTACAAGGATAAATAAGGTAACTCGGTGAGCAAATAAGCTTTTCTTAAAAGTTTTGTGGGCCTGGGTCAGATATTTACAGCCATGGCATTGCAGAATAAGGCTTTCTAACCTGGTGGTTCACCAAAGTGTAAGAGAAAGTAATACGCTCATTGGGTGCCCAGTGTGTTAGCCGCACAGCGAGTGGCTGGTGGTAGAGAGGATGCACATCAAGTCACCATTTCCGGGTTTCCGTACCCTGCAAGTCCTCCTTGGCTGACATCCCATGTAAAGGCCCCACAGGGGTTTCATTTCCCACATAATTGTCATAGCGGTTAAGTGACTTGCCCACGGTCCTATCTCAGAGGGGATTTGAACCAGTTCTGGCTGACGTGCCAACTGCTTATGTAGATAATCTTATTTACAGCAGGTGTCTGAAGACAAGCACTCAGTTTCGAGTCAGTTTATGAGTCAAGATAAGATATGAACTTAAACCAGTTCCAGAAGTTTTGGAATAAGCTCAGACAAAACGTTTGATCTTGTGTAGACGCGCTTAGCTCCAAAGTTCCTGCTTTGACGGGTTCCTGGGACTTGTGGCTCCCAGTCTGTGTAACACATGGTGCTTGGAACTGTAGCATTCCATGAGCAGTACTTCCTCCCTCACTTTCCCGCTTTTAATGTCTCCTCTCTAGGCGTTGGCATTTTATATTAATGGTAACCCTATGTTCATTTCTCTTATACACGCATCCTTCTTTTTTTCCTCCACCGCTAACTGGTTTTGAGGCCTGTGTGTGTTCCATTCCAAATGTAGTCCTCCTGGGTGTCGTTGAGAAGCAGTTCCAGAATGAAGTATTTCAAACTGAGATGGAGCGCAAACTGGCCCAGCTGCTCAGTGAGGTTTCTACCAGAAGGCGGATGTGGAGAAGAGCCACCGTCACCGCCGGGAACAGAGTGGTGCAGGTACTCTAAGAAGGTCAAAAGAGAAAAAAGTGCAAAACTGACCCTGGGGAGGGGGCAGAGGCAGGTTGCCTAGAGCTGGCATCGCCGTGCCACATCCCTTTCGCCAACTGTTTCCCTAGAAGCATTGCTCTTTATTTCCCCTTCCAGACAGGTGGTTATTAGGTTTCTAAAATAGTCCCTTTGCCAGATGCAAGAGAATCTAGAGAAAATTTAAAAAACTAAAACATTGACAGTAATATTAACCAGTATAAATATATGTTTATATAAATATAAAACAAAGAAGACAATTGAAAATGAATTATAAAAGCTTTGCCTTATTTAGTAACCCTGGCTTCCCAGAGCTCAAGGTCTGGGTGGAGGTTAATAAATGCACATAAAACAGATTAGATTGAAAAGCTCCCTCAGGTAGGAATATTGGATTTGGAAAAGTTAACCAAGCCACCCCAAGCTCATGGTGCCCTCTGACAGGTTGCTTAGAAACCGCGCCCTGTAGCTCCTCCCCTTTAGAGTGACCAACCATGAAGCTGGAGGCAGGGGTTTATGTACAGGGCATAGGACTCTTCAGCAAACAGAATTCATAAAAGTGAAAACATGGAAGCAACCTGCAACCTGAATGTTCAGCAATTGGGGAATGGGTAAATAAATTGTCACGAGTCTTTTATATGGTGGAATATGATGCAGCCATTATCATTTTTTATAATTAGTAGCCTAGAAAGATGTTCAAGGGAAGAGAAGCTACAAGAGAATGTATGCAATATAATCCAAATATTAATATAAAAAACGCATGAAAAAATCAGTGGAATGAAATACACCAAAATGTTCAGAATGGTTTTCTTTGGTTGGTTGAATTTGAGTTGATTTTTATTTTATTCTTTGTTTTTTTCACGCTTTTTCAAAATTTCTCCACAATGAGCATGTAATTTCTATAGTGAACATGTGATATTAATCCGAAGATAATTTTAAAAATGAAATTGAAAAGGTTGCCTAGAATGACGACTCCACCATACCAGGTTGTATGGATTCCAGATCCGAATCTGATAAGAAGTTATCCAGAAAGGATGCTGGAATCAACTTTTACTGACTGTTACTTTCAGATTGGATAAGCTTGTGGAATCTTTAGTTAAGGTGGCCGTCACTGCATATTTGGGTATGTGGTTTCTGCAAGAAGAAACTACTCCTAAAGTGTATTAGAACTTTTCAATGGAGTCAATAGGCACATAGGTGGATATAATCTACTTGCTTTTCAGTAGCTCTGTGATAGTATTCATTCTAATAAAACATGAGTCAGAACAGCACAGTTCGGGGGAAGGGAGTAGGTGGTTAGGGAACAGAAGTGGTCGGGAACTGGCTAGACACAGCAGACAAAGGGCAGGGCCGATGAGCCCTTCTCAGGATGGAGAGGTATAAAGAACATTCTCCAGGGATGAGGGTTTGGGCCTGTGTTGTTAAGGGTCTTTATACGTGATCCGGGAGAAGGTGTTCACAGCGAAACCATGAGATTGTTGACTTGCCAAGTTTCCAGTGGTGAAACAGTCCAGCAGCCGTGTCTAGAGCAGTATTACCATTCCGTACCCATGGCTAGAAAAGTGGCAGCTATTTTGCCAGTTGCAAAGGTAGAGACCAAAACATCATGCATTGTGTGTATAAAATACAGGACTCGGAGTCACTGTTGATCATTTTCTCAGAAGCTCAATCCAGCATTTTGCTGGAATCTGAAGGGGCAATACAATTGTTGCATATTATTAAGAGAAATATCAACAAAATATTGGGTTGTTGGAAAAGTCATGATGCATTTTTGCAACGAAAACCAGAAAAAATACGTCATGACTTTTCCAACAACCCATTAGAAAGCACTCTATGTGTAAAACTGAGACATATCAAACGTACTAGATTCTGAGGTACTAATGTAGAGGACTACCCTTAACATCAGAGAGAAAGAAATTTTGGGACAATTCAAAATACTGTTTGGCCCAACAGATTATTAATTTATGAAATTTTTTTCTGGCTGGACTGAGACATTGACATATAACATTGTGTAAGTTTCAGGTGTACAGTGTGATGATTTGATATAAATATATATTCAAAATGATGACCACAATGTTAGTTAACACACCCGTTGCCCACATAGTTACTTTTGTGTATGTATGTGTGTTGAGATCTTTTATAATCTACTCTCTTAGCAACTTCCAAGTATATAGTACAGTATATTATTAACCATAGTCACCATGTTGTACATTAGATTCCAAGAACTTACTCATCTTTTTTTTTTTTTTTTTTTTTTAATTGGGGAATTGGGGGGATGGGAACAGTGCTGGGGAATTGGGGAAAGGGGAACAGACAAGTTGCTGTCGTTTTGTTCTTCAATCTAGTTGTGGAGGATGTTGCTTCACTGGCCCAAGTTGGCACCATCATTGCGCTCTTCTCTGGCGAGGCAGATCAGTCGCCGGCTTCTGGACGGCCGCTCACTGCGGCTGCTGGCCGCTCACGCTGGCTGCTGGCCACACACGGTAGCCCATGGCAATCCACTGCCACAGGGACTGCAGCCTACGCCGTTGCCGGCGACTCACGGCAGCCCAGCTCCAGGTTGAGCTGTTGTTCAGCATCTTAGCTGTGGAGGGCAGTGTCACTGGCCCTCATATGTGGGATCCGAACCGGGGCCCTCTGGCATCCCAAGCGAGTTCTTAACCATCGCGCCACTTGGCCGGCCCAGAACTTACTCATCTTATAACTGAAAGTTTGTACCCTTTGACCACTTTTACCCATTTTCCCCACCCCCAGCTTCTGGCAACTACCAATCTATTCTTTGTTTTCGAGTTTGTTTTTTTTTTTTTTTTTAAATTCCACATATAGGTGAGATCATATAATATTTGTTGTTCTCTGACTTATTTCACTTAACATAATGCCCTCAAGGTCCATCCATCCATGTTGTTGCAAATGGCAGGATTTCTTTTTTTATGGGTCAATAATATTCCACCGTATATATACACGACATACTATGTTTTCTTTATCCACTGACCCTTAGATGGACACTCAGGTTGTTTCCATGTCTTGGCTGTTGTAAATAATGCTGCATGAATGAATGTGCAGGTGCAGATATCTCTTCGAGATAGTGATTTCATTTCCTTTGGATATATACCCAGAAGTGGTAGTTCTATTTTTAACTTTTGGGGTAACCTCCATACTGTTTTCTATAGTGGCTGTACCAATTTATATTCCCATGAAAAGTGACAAGAGTTCCCTTTTCTCCACATTACCTATTCTAACAGGTACGAGCTGATATGTCACTGAGGTTTTGATTTGCGTTTCTCTGATGATTAAGATGTTGAGCACCTTTGCACGTACCTGTTGGCATTTGTATGATTTGGAAAAATGTCTATTCAAGCCCTCTGCCCATTTTTCAGTCTTTTTTTTTGCTACTGAGTTGTATGAGGTCCTTGTATATTTTGGATATTAAGCCCTTATTAGATATACAGTTTGTAAATATTTCCTCTTATTCCATAAGCTGCCTTTTCATTTCGTTGATTGTTTCTTTGTCTATGCAGAAGCTTTTCAGTTTGATGTAGTCCCACTTGTTGATTTTTACTGTTGTTGCTTGTGCTTTGGGTCTCATATCTAAAACCTCATTGCCAAGACCAATGTCAAGGAACTTCTTCCCTATGTTTTCTTCTAGGAGTTTTATGGTTTCAGGTCTTACATTTAAGTCTTTCCATTTGGAGTTAATTTTTGTGAGTGGTGCAAGATAGGGGTCCAGTTTTATTCTTTGGCATGTGAACACCCAGTTTTCCCAAAACCAGTAATTGAAGACATTATCTTTTCCCTATTGAGTGTTCTTGGCTCCGTTATCAGCAGGGTCTTTTGTGGTTCCATATAAATTTTAGGATTTTTTTTCTATTTCTGTAAAAAATAGCATTTGAATTTTGATAGGGATTGCATCAAATTTATAGATGGCTTTGGATAATGTGGACATTTTAACAATATTACTTCTTCCAGTCTATGAACATGGTTATATCTTTCCATTTATTTGTATCGTCTTCAATCATCAAATGTCTTATAGTTTTTAGTGTATGGATTTTTCACCTCCTTGGTAAAATTTATTTAGGTATTTTATTATTTTTGATGCTATTGTGAATGGCACTGTTTTCGTCATTTCTTTTTCAGGTAGTTTGTTGTTAGTTTATAGAAACACAGCTGATTTCTGTATGTTGATTTTGTATCCTGCAACTTCACTGAATGTCTTTATTAATTCTAATAGTTTTTGGTGGAGTGTTTAGGGTTTTCTATATAAAAGATGTCATCTGCAAACAGAGACAATTTTACTTCTTTCCAATTTGGCTGCCTTTTATTTCTTTTTTGTGCCTGATTGCTCTGGCTGGAACTTCCAGTACTATGTTGAATAGGAGTGGTGAGAGTGGGCACCCTCATCTTATTCCTGATCTTAGAGGGAAAGCTTTCAACCTTTCACTATTGAGTATAATGTTGTTAGCTGGGGCCGTGTCATATATGGCTTTTACTATGTTGAAGTTTGTTCCTTCCATGCTCATTTTGTTGAGAGTTTATGTCATGAATGGATGTTGAATTTTGTCAATGATTTTTCTGCATCTATTGAGATGATCTTGTAATTTTTTATCTTCCATTTATTGATGTGAAGTATCACATTTATTGATTTGCTTATGTTGAACCATCCTTGTATCCTGGGATGAATCTCACTTGATCATGGTGTATGATCCTTTTAATGTGCTATTAAATTTGACTTGCTAACATTTTGTTGAGAAATTTTACATCTATGCTTATTAGACATATTGGCCTGTAGTGTACTTTTCTTACAGTGTCCTTACCTGGCTTTGGTATCAGGGTAATGCTGGGCTCATAAAATGAGTTTAGGGGTATTCTCTCCTCTTCAGTTCTTTTTGAAAAATTTGAGATAGATCGGTGTTCATTCTTCTTTAAATGTTTGGTAAACTTCATCAGTGAAACCATCTGGTCCTGGGGCTTTTATATAT